CTGCTTTCGTTTAATCCGAAGACAGGCTAGCGTAGTTTGTTTGTTACTGATCGATTCGTTAGTCATCAAACATGATTTTGTGGAATTTTACCTACCCACCTAGAGTGACACAGATATCTTTGTTCTATTTCCGTGTCTGCTTGTCTCGGTGGTAATGGATGGCGGGGTCACTGGTGACTGGTGAGGAAATGGATTGCTTCCATGGCCAGAGTGTTGATCCCTCGAGTTATTCGCGTCAGTTTGTTTCTCCATAGCTATCCGATTGTGAATGTTGAGTTGCTGGTGGTAGTCCGGTGACGGCCAACGGCGGTATTCCTGTGACGGCCTGGAGTGGCCGACAGTGGAGTTCAACTTGATCTTTGAATGTATTGATCTAGGTGAAGGTTTGTTGCTAATTTTTTAGTGTCTTGTTTCTTAAGCTTGACATGAGATAGATGTGTGAACGATGAACTTAGCAGAAGGGAAAAACAATGGGAAAAAAAATAAAAAGAGAGAAAAGAGAATAAAAATAATAATAATATAAAAATTGGAGAAGAAGAAAGTAATGAAATGGGCTTAAGTTGAATTTTAGTTAAGTAAAAAAACCATAAAAAACCCCAAATTATTCTACTGCGACACATTTACCCTGAACTTTTTTTGTGACGTAAAAGATATCAAACTATGCCCATTGTGAATTATTGTGACACATTTATCTTAAGCTTTTTCTTGTGACTTAAAAAACTTTAAACTTTTACCTCTGTAACACATCTACCCTCTATCAGGTTTTGCTATATGATTTTTCAAAAAAAAATAGCATCGTTTTATTTCAATTAAGCCGCGTGTGTGCGATATCAACATGTTTGCTTTCTAGCGCCCATGGAGACAGAAATTTTACAGTTCTCATTGACAAAACTTTGATGGACGGTGAATGTGTCAAACGGGTATAAGTAGGGATTTTTAATGTCATAGAAAAAAGTTTAGGATAATATGTCACAGCGGGTATAATTTATCATTTTTGGTGGCTTTGCCCTTAAGGAACTTTGGGTTTGCTTTGGTTTTAGTGGATTGGGTTTAACTCAATTGAGAGGGCCCGACCTGTATCCTCTTTTATCATAATATATAATAATAAATAAAACAAATAATAAATTAAAAAATAGAAAATAAAAATTGGAAGATAGTTAGAAAACTAGGTATTGTTTAGATTGTTAGATCTTAGTATTCGATTTAGTTTAATTTCATTAAGTTAGTATACATATAGTTTATGGATTTCAATGGATATCTTGGGTTTAATTTAGGTTTTGGTAGATTAATCTCTTAGAAAATAAATAGAATTTGATTTAAATTTGACTCACAGGGATACTGTCCCAAGGCTTAATAACAAAGACATATATATATTTTTTGATTAACTCGTATAGGGTTACTTTACTACACTCAATCTTTTACTCCTTCTTTTTAATTTGTTATGATTCTTTTATATTGCTTTCGTGTTGTGATTTGCTTGTTTTAGTTTATAGTTATGTTACATTTTAGGAACTTAACAAACACAAAGACATCGCATGGACACTTAGAGAATGAGAACTTTATGACTTGTAATTGGATAAAAAGACCGCATGTGAGACTTAGTTGACAAATAATTAAGTTTAGGTACCGAAAGAGCATTAGTTAAACATCTAGTATAATCATGTCCCTGTAGTTAGATCTCTGGTTGTGGAGGAAGTGAGATATACTCTTGTATCTCATTTGGCTCCCCAATTTACTAGTGGTGGCACCCTATCACATAGAATTCTCAAAGGCTAATTCAAACTAAATTGAAAATCCCAACGTCGCTCGAGGTAAAGGCTTGAGAGAACCCGCATCGATTAAGGACCATTAGTCCTCAACTCGACGTTACCTCTAAATCCGCTTCTCCAGACCCCTTTCGGGAGGGTCATGACAAAAGGATGCAAAGTTAAATAAAGGAAAAGGAAAAACACACTATGCTGGAGGAGGCTTAAGGGGCGATGCCTTCACCCGTACTTCTTTGGCGAGGGTCAGTGCCCTTGCCAGTACCCTCGCCAGTGAAGTAGGGCTGCCCTCGAACCGAACCCAACCTTTGATATGCACTTTTTTTTAAAAAAAATTTCTGGATTTATAATTTATCCTTTTGCCCTTGTCTTTTAATCAATGATACTTTTTCTTTTTCCTTTTTAATATTTCAAATTTAGTTTTTCTGACGTAGCACCACATATATTCGAAAAACATAAATGAATATCACGTCAACATTATCCAATAGGCAAATTAGACAAAGTTAATGGAGGGATTCGATTGCACCAATATAACAAGTTTTAGGATTTTATTGTACTTTCAAAATTTAGAACTTAGTTTGCACTTACCCCTAAAAGTTAATCCTCACTAAAATATGGTCTCTCTCTTTGAAGAATGTAAAGTTACTTACCTAATTTGATCTAAGCTTCAACCAAAAATTTTTTTTTGATCCAAGCAAATCATACTCTAATCTGCATTTGAGTTTTTCTTTTATTTATGATGTCGGTAGACATTTTAAATACTTACCTAATTTGATCTAAGCAAATCATACTCTAATCTGCATTTGAGTTTTTCTTTTATTTATGATGTTTGTAGACATTCATAAAGCTTGATGCCAGCTTATACCAATTGTGCTCTAGCACCTTTTGAGCGTATCACCTTTTCTTCACGATTCTACATGACGAGAACGAAGATATGTAACAAGCAAATGTAATAGCTACAAGAAATATCAGGATCTTATTATTTTTTGAGTCATTCTTAAGGATTGGAAGTCGCAGCTGTAGTCCAACTCTTTCGGATTGAAATTACAATTGGCAGTGATTCTAAAGTGTTTTGATGTAATTAATTAAACATTGCTCTGGAATAGATAATGAAGTTGACTAAGGTAAATAAAATACAGGAGACAGCTTACTACACGGGGTACAACAGAAAGACCAAAATATCTCAATAAGTGGAGCATGTAGGATCAACTAGTTCTTCCAATTTGATGTCTTCTGATGCGGTTAACACGATCGAGCTATGTGATGATATCACTCGAGAAACTTGTTGCATGCTTAAACGATTCTCTGTTTTGGGACTTAAGCACAAAAATGCCATCTTTGTCACAAAAGTCACTTCCCCTAGCACATCACCTTTCTGGTATGGAGTTCTTTGATCTAAAACTTCTTTCAGTGGCCAAGAAGCTGTTGAATGGTGCAAGGACGATGAAGATGAGGACAGAATAGACGATATGAGATCTCCCGGATGTCTTCCCATGATTACTTCCAATGTCACCACTCCGAAGCTATAAACATCGCATTTCTCGTTCACTTCCATAGTGTATGCGAGTTCTACATAGAGAAAAGAGCAGATTTTTTCTAGCTTTTATACAGTTCCCATGCTCCATTAATCTAAGCTGAGTTTGAACAAATCAAATTTACTATAAATCAATGCATACGATAGATTCCAATGGGATTTAAAAATTTTCATTTCTTTAAGGAAAAGTTTCGATTATTAACTAATGGGCCTAAATCTCGTTGAACCTTCAAACCGTGCGAGTAGCTTTGGATTTAGTGTTAGGTGACTAGACGTTTAAAGCGAGGCAGGTAAGGATGAGGATCTTGTATAAGCATTGTCATGTCTATAAAATGAAGTGGGTGAAATTTCAAAGAAATCAACTTACCTGGAGATGCATATCCAAAGGTGCCTGCAAAGGAAGTCCAATTGGATGAATAAGGTTTTAGAACCTTAGCCGTGCCAAAATCAGAGACGTGAGCTTCGTATTCTTCATCCAGTAAAAAGTTCTTGCTCGATATGTCTCGATGAATTATAGGAGGAGAGCATTCATGGTGCATGTAGCACACCTTTAACAACATTCACTCTCTTATTCCAGTCAAATGTTGTTATCCTCTCTTCATCGTTCAACTTATTCTTCAAGTTGCCACATTCCAAGAACACGTACACCAAAAATGAATGTTGAGAACTCAAGCAAAAGCCAGAGAGCTTGATGATATTCCGGTGCCGAGTTTCGGTCAATGCATGAATCTCCCTTTCAAATGCTTTTTGACTAGCAATTTCGACATCCACTGCTTCCTTAAGTTTCTTTACAGCAACAGTCTCACCCGTTTGCAACTGGGCCTTATAAACACTCCCATATCCTCCCACACCGATGCAATATTTGGCATCAAACTCCTCTATAGCTTCAATAATGTTCTCATAGACCATTCCTCCATCAAAGCTCAATACTGCCCACGGGTTTTTATTACTTTCATCAATCGAACTAGCCTTCGTTTTCCTTACTCTTTGGCATACGATACTTGAAGCTCCCACAACAAGAAGCAAAGAGAGTAGGCAACCTAAAGTAGGAATCAAAATTAGTAGCAACTTTTTGTTGTTGTTTTTTCCTTTCGACCTTATGGCTGTACAGAGTGTGAGACTAGAAATAACTCCACACAAGCCTTTGTTTCCTCTCACAACTTCAATTGTAGCATTACGAAAGGCTGGAATGTTTGGTAAGGCACCCTCTAACTCATTGTACGATATGTCAATGGATGTCAAGCTTGCCATCTCATCAAAGGTCGACGCAATGGAACCCGAGAGCCGATTGTGTGAGAGATTGAGTGTTTCTAATTTGTGCAATAGCCCAAGTTGTCCAGGTATTTCTCCCATAAGCAAATTTTGACTTAGATCGAGAATTTGAAGAGATTGAAGATTGCTAATCTCAAAGGGAATGCTTCTGTCAAGACTGTTTCTACTTAAATTCAATATTTGAAGCTGTGAACACTCCCCAAGTTGTCTAGGAATTGAGCCACTTAGGTTATTTCTGGCAACGTTAATTGTTGACAGATCGAACAGTGATCCAAGTTCTCGAGGTATGGAGCCTACGAGATTATTGTCATAGAGTGAAAGCTCTAGAAGTGACTTTAGTTTTCCCAGGTCTTCTGGAATTTCCCCAACAAGACTATTTGAAGAGAGGTCAAGTATATGCAATTGGGTCATGTTTCCAAACTCAAAGGGTATCACGCCTGTGATTCGAGTGTTGGAGATTTTCAGGCTAGTGAAATTGCTATATTCACCCACTTTAGGTGGTAGCTCACCGTAAAGTTCTTTGTTGCTCAACTCAAGATAATCTAAGTAAGGGTATGTGCCAAGAGCCTCAGATATATTTCCCTTGAGTTGGTTGTTTTGGAGCCTAACTCTATACAAACTCGCGCAGTTTTTGAGGCCTCGCGGAATTGGACCAGTGAAGTAATTGTCACGCGCGGAAAAATTTTGAAGAACTCGACCATTGCAAATATCTTGTGGCAATTGGCCAACAAACTTGTTAGAGGCTAGTTGCAGGTCTGTGAGTTTGCTTAAGTTACCTATAGTGGATGGAATCATGCCACAGAGACTGTTTTCCATAAGCACGAGATTAGAGAGAGATCTGAGCATTCCTAGTTCTTTAGGAATAGGACCAGATAACTTATTTTGGTAAAGTTGAAGGATTTCCTGATTGCTCAAATTCCCTATAGATGACGGGATAGGACCTGTTAAATCATTGACTAGCAGTTCGAAATGTATGAGGGATGTCATTCCTCCAACTTCCGAAGGTATGGGGCCAGAAAGTTGGTTGCCATAGAGATAAAGAAATGCCAAATTACTCAAATTTCCTAGAGTTGTAGGGATTGATCGATTGAGATCATTGTTTGATAAATCGAGTTGACTTAGAGACTTCAACATTCCTATTTCCTTTGGAATGGACCCAACCAGATGATTATTGGAAAGCCGTAAATCCGACAACCTGCTAATGTTTCCAATGGAAGAAGGAATTGGACCAATGATGAGGGTTTTCTCTAGGTAGAGAGAATTGAGAGATTTGAGCATTCCTATTTCTTTAGGGATGAAACCAGAAAACTTATTATATGAAAGGGATAGGCCTGACAAGTTGGTCAAACTATATATCTGATTGGGAATGGAGCCGATGAAATTATTTTTCCACAAATTGATAATTTGTAAAGATTGCATGGACCTGACTTGAGTTAGAATGTTTCCCGAAAGGTTGTTTAGAGACAAGTCCAGATGAGCAAGCTTGTCAAGATTGCCAATGCTCGGAGGGATGTTACCGAAGAGCGAGTTGTTACCAAACTTTAGAGTGACCAAGTTGCGCAATTGAGAGAAATTGAGATGATGAAGTATACCACGTATGGCAGAATTTGAAAGGTTCAAGCTCACAACGCTCCCAAGAGGATGACAAACGATTCCGCGCCATGAACAAGGGCTGCTTCCATTCCACGAAGATAGAGTATAGCGACTCTCGCTATCTAGCTTGGACTTCCATGTTAGGAGTGCCTCCACTTCCTTGTTTACCGTTTGGTTACTAGCACCAGCAAGGGCCACCAGAGGAGAGCTTCGAGATGAAGCAAGACAAGGCATTTCTTGCATGAGCATGAGGAGGACACAAGCGAGGAACAACGAGGGTTGTTTTAGAGACGAGGCCATGACAGGTTGTTTGGGTTATTTGGGGTTGGATTTTTCTTCGCTTCTAAGCACATATGTGCTGAGATGTACCAAGTACAACCAACGTATTTATAGAAGAAATTGGGACCGTCGAGTCAACAAACAACCAAGTCAATAATCACTTCTTCCCGGTGAGTGCGAGAAAATTCCAAATTTCGTTTTAGGGAGAAATTACACAAAACTCTCTTGAATTTTGAGAGGTAGTACACGTTTATCTCTAAACTTTCAATCTTACGCAATTGCTTCATGAACTTTCATTTTGTTACGGCCGTTATATTTTCCTTTATATTTTCATTGTATATTTGATATGTGTGGCCCTTTATTTGCAAAGACTTATTGGTCTTTCGTAGAGCAAACGAAGCGAAAACTTAATAAATATAATCCCAACATGCCTTAATAAATGCACAACGAAGTCCCTTGCATTTTCCGTTGACATGTGCAATGGGCATCTCCGCGTGGACCGCTATTTGCAAAGACTCGCTAGTCTTTTTCATAGAAGGACCTGGATGGAAGTCAGCTACACAAAAACATAATATTGCCGAAATACAATCCCAACCTGTATTAAAATTGACGAATTCGTTGCCCAAAAAAGGCATGCAATTCAAGAAAATCACAAGTTCAACTTTATTTTTCTTTTTTCGGAAATGCTGATGTTGTTTTGTGCTATATTTCCTCTCTGTTTTTATGTAGAAATCGTTATATTAAATGTGTAAGCCATTATCAAGAAAATGATAGTGATTTTGGAGAATATTCTTCCACTCGGTGAAACACGACAGAGAAAAAGACTAGACAAGTTCCCCATGTAAATGTAGTACGAAACACGAGTCCAAAGCTAATAGAAAATGGCCGAGCTGTACATTTAGTATATCTTTTTTATAAGTAGGGCGTTACCTTTTCTTTTTACCATTTTTGGGTCTTTTGGCATCAACATTTGTTTGCCGTCTCAGGTACCTTGTTTTCATTGATCGATTCATAGTAACTAGATATGTCAAAATGAGTCATAAACTCATTTCTTAATCCATCTTTGATTGTTGATTTATTATATGAGTTAGTTATATTCAGTAAATTTATCATAAATAAGTTTAGAGTGATAAAGTCCAAAATAATATGGGTATTAAATGGGTTCATAACTTACTTAGATCCAGTGCACCTCCATTACTCTCTCTTCACTCTTTCTCGCCCTCATTTGATTTCACGCTCACTCAGTCTGCGGTTTCACCTCAATTTGGGTATGAGTTTTCCTATATTAAGTTAAACGTGAAAGTGTTTTAACAATATGGGTCGGGTCAGGTGTCGGGTCAAGTGTGTGTTGGGTCTGATATGAGTAACTAGATTTATATTGCGTCAAAATTGATCAAAATTCAAGGACGACATCAAATAAATTAAAAGTTAAGGGATGATATTGTCAATTAGCTCAAAGTTTAGATATCACATTGCATAAATTAAAAGTTCGAAAACGATATTGCATATTGAATCAAAATTCATGAACAATTTGTGTTATCATCTTGTTTCAGAATTCAAGAATTAGAGAAATGACCGAAGGCAAAGGTCATAGTCAACAGGCCAATTCAATTATTGGAGACCGCATCTCCCATGGAAGGCACAGGCCATGCGCAATCTCAATATTTGGACCCATGTCGTCTTTCTTTTCTAGCATTCAGTGACCGCGATCCTTTACGTGGCTTCACGTAATATAACATATAACTTGTTAGATCTCACTTTCGTTTACCATTCTTGCGCGTTTTTTAAATTTTGTACTTTTTTTTGGGTAAAATTAGTTACCCATTTCAAAGAAGTATCAATCTAAATCTCTGTTCCATTACCTTGTCCTTGGGATATTTAAGTGATTTTCATGATCCGTAATCATCAAGTTTGTTGATCGATGCCTAACAATTCCCTTTTCTAAGGATTTTTTCAAACCGAGTTTTTGCGGAAGTAAATGAATAAGACATATAAAGGCAAAAAGCATCATCAATGTATTGCTCACCTAAAATGACACTTGAAAAAGACGAAGTGTACCTGTAGAGAACTAAATTTCATAAACTTTTTGAGATCATATACATTCTTCCAATAAATAATGTACAAATTTCATAAAATCCAAGTCGAGTTATTATCTTTGGAAATTTAAAGTTGGTGTTTATATACTTGGTTGCACACTTTTATGAGAGAGAGAGAGATAGATCTTTTATTCCGTTTATATCTAAACTTTCAAGTGTTATGCAATTACCTCATAAACTTTCATTGTGTCACAGTCATTACCCTTCCATTCTATTTTCCGTTAATATGTGCAATGCACATCGTATATCTAATATGCATGGCCCTTTTTTTTTGTCGAATGCATGGCCCTTTATTTGCAAAGACTTGTTCGCCCTTTTAAGAGCAAGGACTTGGCACTCAAGCGAGCGCCGTACAAAAATTGTTGCACTTGTAGTGTTCTTATCCCATTTTCTATGTGTTTTGGATTGGGCACAACCCTCGTTGAGTGGCCAGGTTTAGCTGTGATTGACCAAGTATTTGTGAACCGGTCATAGGTGTGAGCGTGTGACCAGTGATAACATATAGTCCTAAAATCTTTTAGGATAGTTTCCTCGATTTGAATTTAAAATTCTTTCCTCAATTTGAGGATACTTTCCTTGATTTAAGGAATCAATTTTGCCCTCATCATGTAACTATGTATCTATTTAACCGTATTATGTTCATCAATAGAAGAACAAGAAAAATTAAAAATTCAAATTTCTTTAACCAGTGGCTCGTGAACTGGTTTTTGCGGAGGGGTGCTGTGAACGTGACCAAAGGGCAGGCTTGGGTGCATGCTCATGTTCGATTAATGTCTCTCTATTTTTATGTAGAGATCGTTATCTTAAATATAGAAGTCATCATCAAGAAAAATAATTTTGCCGTGGGGTGTTATAGGCGCAATTGGGTCAATCATACCCTATCATAAAGTGATTACTATGCTATTTTCTTGGTTAGAAATGTATTTTTATGTGCATAAGGTTGTAAAGAAGAGATCCGCCAGGGGTGGAAGATGGGATGGAAGAGAAAGTGACAACAGTTCACGTCCCACTTGAAGAGATAGTGATTTTGGAGAAAATATCTCCACTCGGTGAAACACGGCATTGAAGAAGACTGGACAAATTCCCAATGTGGACAGACACTTAGCCGTGATTGACCAAGTATTTGTGGACCAGTCATAGGTGCGATCTGGCGAGTGACTAGTGGCATCGTGACCTGGTTTTTGTGGAAGGGTGCTATGAACGTGACCATAGGGCAGGCTTGGGTCGTGCGTGCTCGTGTTGGAATGTGCCGTGTGTGGCTTGACTCGTAGGATTGAGTTCCCAATCGTGTTGGCTTTTTGCTTAATGGGTTGTGGCTTGGTCAAGGCGAGGTGCTTGCCGACAATACAGAGTCGAGAATTTGGTGGCCAAAAATCTACCCCGTGACACCTACCAAGGCGGTGATTCGGTTCATCGAACCTACGTTGTTTGGTCTCTTCCTTCCTACATCCTCCGTGGTGGGGTCCTCAACCTTGGCAAGATCGGAAAACCCTTTTCGTTAATTATTCATTCAATGCATCTCGGCAGCATTTGCTATCAAAGATATTATTTTATTTAATATTTCATACATCACGACATCATTGTCGCTGAGGGACATGATTAAAAATTTTGTATTAGTAAGAATTGATTAGAAAAGGTGAAAGTACAAATATTTGATTAGGAAAATAATGAAAGTACAGTTTCTTTTTATATTACCATGGAATATCATTGATATTCCCAATTTTTTTTCTTCAAAAGAAGTCATTTGAGTTTAAGAATCATTCACTTGGAGCTGAAGAAATAAATTCAATATTTTTAGATTGTCGGATTTGCACTCAAAAGTTTGAACTTAATGTGAGGAATAAAAATAAAAATATGAAATCACGGAACAAGTTGTTGAATAGCCTTACTTCATTTTGGTTTTCAAATTAATATTTCTTTTGTCTTTTGCTTTTATAACTCAGATATATCAATAGACTACCAAGCTTCGTTCTTTCATACTACCGTCCCTCTTGTCTCATCAGATGACTTCTTGTGAACTGTGATCCACACATCTCACATCACAACTTATAACACCGTACATCTGATTTGCGTGACCCTCTATTTGCAAAGACTCATTAGTCTTCTTTAGAATAAGGATTGGGATGTAAGTCAACAACACTAAAAACTTAACATTGGTTAAAGAAAGTGCCCCTCAAAGATTGCAGGAGATTTGATATGATGGAAGAGAGTGTGACTCAAGAGTTTAGATCCCACTCGAATCGATGATATCTATGACGATAAATAGTCATCAGTTTGTCCGATTATTCCAGATATTTCATTCGGGGCTTGGCCCACATGGATCGAGCTGGATCATACTCCATCTCTCGTCTAAGCAAGGCGTTACATGTGAAATACGAGATGCTAATAGGACTTGACTAGTAAACCAACGATTATCAACAAAGAAAGATACTTCTTGTGAATTCCACATGTCTCACTTTACAACTTGTAACACCATATATTGAATGTGCGTGGCCCTCTATTTGCAAAGACTCATTAGTCTTCTTTAGAGCAAGGACTGGGATGTAAGTCAACAACGCTGAAAACTTAACACTGGATAAAGAAAGTTCCCCTCAAAGATTGTAGGAGATTCAATATGACGGAAGAGAGTGTGACCCAAGAGTTTAGATCCCACTCGAATCGATGATATCTATGACGATAAATAGTCATAAGTTTGTCCGATTATTCCAGATATTTCATTCGGGGCTTGGCCCACATGGATCGAGCTGGATCATACTCCATCTCTCATCTAAGCAAGGCGTTACATGTGAAATACGAGATGCTGATAGGACTTGACTAGTAAACCAACGATTATCAACAAAGAAAGATACTTCTTGTGAATTCCACACGTCTCACTTCACAACTTGTAACACCATATATTTAATGTGCATGGCCCTCTATTTGCAA